ACTAAAGAGCTAGTGTCATCAGTAAAGCATCTAAATTGAATTTTATTAAGACCGTTTTGATATTACCGAAGTTTCATACCAATTCCAGACATCTGAACTCCGCTTCTGTCGATCTTACACAAAATTTCGGAGCACAATTAGATACATAAAAATCGTACAATATACGTGCTCTGCAAACACTACTGAAATACATCACTATTTGTTATATCAAGTTCATAACGGCCTAATAAGTGTTGAAAAAATCTACATACGTACTGCTTTAAGTAGAGAAACCTTGTGCGACATTTCTTCGGCCCTACGATTGTTTTCTTGTTCCAAGAGTGAGTGTGTTGCATCCATTGTCATCAATGTTTTAGTCTCCCTCGAGCAGATAGGGTGTTTATTGATTTTGTTTGATTTAATGACTTAACCGTCCAGAACTTTGATGTTAAGTGATGTGGGGAAAGCTATATACAGGTAGGATATTTGCTTTCTTCATATAATGTGTCTTCTGATGGTAAGAAATAAGTAATTCCTCTAGAAGTGTTTACGTTGTAGATGAACCTTGAACAAGTTAAAGTCTCCGCGCTGTCTTTGTTGCAATGGACATTATATTCGTGTCCAATGAATAAATAAATTGATTGTCATGTGCTCACCGCTTGACGTTACGGAACAGTTTCAGATCTTTATTATAGTTCAATGTGAATAGTCTAGCCACTTAGCTGCAATAATCCTAGTGAATTTATTTGCTATTCTTCGTAAAAATGAGCGCATTTGTTTATCATCCGTAGGTTTGATAACGCAAAAAGCCGATGAGATATTAGTTTTGTCACCGCATAAAAGGTTGTAGAATTAAAACACAGAGAACCAATAAGATGATTATGATTGCATTGTTTCATTCATGATATCAAACTAACGACTACGGTTAGATTGAGTAAATGTAAAGCTAACGTTAATTATTTCGTCAAAATAAATATGTCTCAAATATTCAAGTCTTGACAACCTTTCGTCAAAAATCCTGTGGATTACCGATGTAGAAGATCCATCTGGGTGACTGAGGACTTACTCTATTTTTGAAGGGATGATGTGGCCTCCAGATTACAATAAAGACATCTCTTCGTTTATATATGAGGTAGATTATTCTTTTGTCATATCCAGGCCCTATGGATACCTTGATGACAGTATATCACAAACATTATTATGTAAATATACCGGCAGTAATAGGTGCAAGAAACAGAGTCCCACTACTACTTCATGGGTTAGTTCATGGCGTGAAAATTATTCTTAAGTGTAGATTGTCCTTAACTTTCTTGGAGTTGGTAAGCGGTTTGGTATTTTGTAACATGAATGCTGGATGATTTGGTTAGGACCCAGTGAAGCTTAGCACACCTTACCAATTTTATAATCGAACGACCAAAAGCTTAGGAAGACCAGAATTAAAGAAAAAAGTGGTTCAAATAAGTTTTCGGTAGGATGTCTACTCATCAAGGTGTAGATCATCTGATCTGATTGGTTATTGTGATATAAGAACTTCTTGATGTTGATTTGGTGGGGATGCGTTGCCAAACACCTTCATCTAAGATGTTTCCGGTAAAACTCATGACATCAGCATTAGTGTGGAAGACCTACAGAACTACTTATTTTGGAGATTTATATACCGCTGTAGCTCACTCTTCCACCCCGAAGGTGATATACAGATGATCCTATGTCGTAATCAGCAGAAATCCTTAACCCACCGAGGTGGACGTAGATAAAGACTTCGAATCACTTCCTATGCTTTTAGTCTGATCATCTTTCCTTAACATCAGGAGCCATATGGTACAACACAATAAAAATGTATAATGACAATTTTGATTCATTGTATTCATTGACGGTTTTTCGTCTTTCCCTGTCTTTCTTCAGAAAAAGATGAAAATGTAAGTTTATACCGAGATGCACTTGCTCTTACGTGAGCATGTAATAGTGCAAAAACTGGCACAAATTCGTCTACATGCCATGCACTGCTCTAATAATAGACCTAATCCTAAAATTGTAGATTTATCATGATGTAACTGCCTAATCTATAAGATCTTACGTGGAAGTTACATCATCGCCTACACCAATTCATTGCATTGTAACAATTACCAATACGTGATAGAGAACAAGCTTAGGCTAGAGATGGAACAATATATTTAATATGAATAAAAGACATAACGTAACATTTAGCAGGAGGGACAACGCCTGCATGGTTGAGCCATGCCATAAGATTAACTCGTATTAATTCAATTTGTTCTCCCCGCCTTCTCCATTATTCTGTATTCCTCCGCGTTAAATGTTTAATGTCTATTTCTCATATTGTCTCGTGGTAGGGCCCAATGCCACTACAAGGTAATAAAAAAACAGTGACTCTTGATATGTCACAAGATGGAGTATGTTCAAATGATAAAATACAAGTCTATAATCGAACAATAAAGAGTTTTTATTAGGATAGAAAGTGCACCATGGAAGCAAACTGTCAAGAAAAACTAATAACTAAATTTTATTGTCTGATTTTTTAAGAGGGTTAGGTTGTTGATCTTGAGTTAGTATTTCTAAAGGATCTTACATTCATTTACAAAACACTATCAGAAACTTTGCCTGACACAGAGGTGGTTGTGACGCCACTGTGATTACCACAATCAGACCTCTTTCCTATGGTAATTTAAAGACGTATCGCGTTTCCAAGATCGTTTGCACATGTTCGTCCTCTAAAATCTTCCTGAATAGATGTGCAAATCTCTCACCATTCCCGTACATTTATCCCTGTACATGTCGTTCTATGATATCCTCATACAATTTGTTGTCTATTCGAACCTTGGTGTTTGGGTCTCTCATCAGGATAGCCAGGTCTTTTCTTTGGCAAATGAAACTTACTCATCTCTGTATATTATCATCAACAGGGCAAGGCAGTACTAGAAGCTTGATGATACGTGAGTGGTGAACAACGGAAAGGACAAACAATAGTGGTACTGACATCGAGACCTGAGATACTCCACTGAGTACTAGTTTTGCGCAGTGAGCTTCGGAAATAATCTGCGAATTTTATCAGCCACCCACTAGAAAGCATCTGACTTCAGTGTTTGGAAGTTACTGATTTTTCCAGCTCTTTTCTGCAACAGCTTATGGGAAGCTCTGTTAAGCCTGTTGAACACAACATTTTCTGAATTGGCTTGATTTGAACGCAATCTTTAGCTTCCCATCATTCGATTGTTAACCCATCATAAATTTTCTTATAACAGTACTTTTCCATTTTAATTAACGACGTATTTGCGAAAAGGTCATGAATAACTAGATGACTGTCCTTTCCAAAGATTCAAGAATTACATTAGTTTGACCTATAGCTTTTTAGTTCTGTCCTCGCCATGCGATCACTTGAGGATATGAATATCAAAGATTAACCTCCAGTACAATCGAAACACCCAATGGCTGGGCGACATTTCAAATAACACCTAGAGCTGTATGATACATGTAATGCACGCTTTTTAAACAGTAAGAGCTTTCGTCCGACTTGTCGGTTTTCCGGCATCTTAAAAGTCTAAACGCGTAAAGCGCCGTTCTGTTTGGTGTGTTAAGTTGGGAACTGAATATACCACACTGCTTTTGGGGTTAGTTCTGCATTGAGAAATGGCTTGTGATTGAAGACCTTCCGGAAGGGATTAGCCGTAGATTCCGTTTCGTTCTAAACTCTCGCTATAGTGGAAGATGTCCCCTCTTGCATAATTGTGGTGAAATTCTGCAGATGCGTTATTGTTCAGTATCAAATAAACTATAATAACCATTTCAGATCCCTGACTAGGATAATCAAAGGTTGGTATTCGTATCTTTTCAAATTTTGCGAAATGTGTCAATAAATTTACACCAGATTCATTGACAAGATATCAGCATTAATAACGTTCTTTGGCACAGAATGAACCAACTGCCACTTGTGGAGGAGTAAATCAAGAAAGGAAGCTGGAGGTGGACAGGTTAGACTATGTACAAACCATTAGGCCAAACCACAAAGCAAGACCCAACTTGGGGTCGTCAAAGTGGAGAGAAATGAAGCAGACCGAAGAGCATATGTCTGCAGGAATCGGAAGGAGACATGAGAACCATGAATACTATTTGGAGACAACTTGATAGCAGAACCAAGAAGAGCTATTTCGAAATCCCTGGTCGTAGGACTATGCCTTATGAGGGGTTACAAGCTTAATCAGTTAAGTAGTCCAAAATCCTAAATATGAACTCTGCTAGTCTCAGGTAGACAATCCAATCTCTTAAAATTAGAAGTGTTTTACTCATGGAAGGTATTACTGACTCAAGTGTAACCTGTTAAGAGTTACTCGAGATAAGAAATACATTAGGATTTATAGGTGCATATACTTTTAAGACCTATTTAGCTATCTATTGCGTTATTTTATTCAACTAACAGTATTTTAGGATTACTGTAGATATTACTGTTTTGTAACTTGGAATTCACTACTGGCTTAGGTAATCTTTGAGGGCAAAGTAGATATAAATTTTTGGGTTGATATTAGTATTCCATTATTGTTGACTGAAATTTGTCTCTCGACTGTTGTTTATATTCAGGACTCTATTTGAAAGCGTCGGTGACTCGGCGATGCTAGAAGCGGAAGCCTTCCAAAATGAAAATTTATGTTTATCCATCTGCAAAAGTTTGAACTATTTAGTTGCATCATACACTGGTCCGACTGCTCAAAGAGAATGGTGATAATAATAATAATAATAGAAAATATGTGTCGTAAAAGCTTCGACTGAATTAGACATTGATGTCCTGGCATGACAAAGTGTACAACTTAAAATGGAATCAGTGATCGGAAGAGTCAAGAAGTTTTAATATGGAAAATTAAAAGTTGTAAGATCATACCGTAGAAGGGTACTTGTCATTTTTACAACTCATTCTAAAGTTCCAAAAAAGTGAAGATCTGATCAACAGATATCGCTAGTCTGAAGTATTTCAGTATCTATATAAATACAAAGCAATTATCATAGAACTACTCACTACTGAATGGGTTTAAGTGCTTGTTGTTGAGTTACGGTTACATGTTGCATTTTCAATTGCGTCAACATTTACATCATGAGGAACAGCGTCCCGGGCAGGCCCACTCATTTGTCAAGATTTGAAGTGAATCTTAAAGAAAATGAGGTTATTAAGTGACAGTTAATTGAACTTTATACAGAAAGAAATAAAAAAATTAAGACAGGAAGTGGATGAAATGCGAATGAGATCTAATGAGTTAATGTTAGAAAACAACCAATTTTCTACTGATGAAAATCTCAAAATCATTAAAAACCTTGAGCAACAGTTAGATTCTTTAAAGGAAGTATGTTTATTCGGTTCGCTTAATCATCATAGGAACTAAAATATGAATCAGTCCTTCGTTCAAGGATTGAAGAAGAGTTGAGTTGTGCATTAAGTGAGCTGAGGTTTTACCGAACATCTACAGTAGCTGATATTGCTCACCAGGAAGAAAGCGAGGTTGAGTCTCAGTGTGAAAGTTTTACAATCAACGTTTTGAATGAACTGAGAGCACAAATATATTCAAAGTGAGGATTTTTACATGTACCCGAAGTATGCATATTTACATATATGTATTTACACACATGTATTCTTGCTTCGGAACATATTGCGCAACAATTATTTACTTTACTTTAACCCTTTAGTTGGTTTGTCCACATAACTAATTTAATAGCTTCAAAATGACTTTTCAGAACATGGTTTAGTAATGTAGTGGCTGATACAAGGGAACTCAGTTTATAATGTGAATAGTTGAAAGCCTCAAACTTCATGGTCTTGAAAAGTGTTTAATGCTATCTTATCACTTAGGTATCACGAAGGGTTGCAGCGGACTCATGGCAACATAAATGTGAAAAGCTACAGGTCATTTATTTATTGCTTACTGACTAACTGTCAATAATTATGTGGTCCATAAACATACGATTCCCAATGAAAAAAATTGCGATGTCTTCTGTGTGTGCTCTTTTGAATGCAGTATTATTGGATAGGGGTGATATGTATATATGGTCTTTGCAGGCAATCTGTCGACGTAACACGTTTAGAATAATGGCATATCAAAAGTTCAAACATGAATGGTGTTTCGGATAAGTATATTTCATACATTCGTTTATTTAGATAAACCGTAAGAGATGATCAAGAGAACGGTTTTGCAGCCTTCTCATTTTTAGTAAGTCTGATTCAGCATTTAGGAAGATAAATACAAGGTAAAACAGGTGACGAGTGGAGTGAATGATAATGGATATAAGCACATATAAAATTTTCACAATTACATATGGATAATCACACAAAGAGATATATTTTTATGTAAAAACATGTGAATCACAATAATGTAATTAATATTCATTTCTACACATAATTTCTATAACGGCTGTTCATTTGATATTATTGACATGTTCACTTATCTCTTATTTTAACATTCAGACCAAGAGATCTATCTTCGACTGAGTTATTCATAACCTGCAACAGTGAGAAGTTGTTCTATTTATGTTATTAACATGGTGTGTGATTGTTTATAAACTCAAATATGTTTAGTCATGTAATTTGTAGTTGTTCGTTCAATTTTGAACCAGTTTTCACCACTCACTGACTAATTAAAGAAAGATCAAGAGGTAATGAGGGCTAAAAACTGTTTCTAGCTGGTTTGGAACCCATTAGCCGGACTCCAAATGGGTCTCGAACCGAATAACTGAACTTTCCCAGAATGCAAGGTATTTTTTTGTCACCAAGGTAGAATCCAATTGTCGATTTGCTGTGTAAAGTGAATATCATCATTTTCATTAAATTTGACATTCTGGAAACAGCTCTGATGGATGTAAGTAATGGTGGTGTAGATGTGTCGTCTGGAGAAAGACATCTCGACCTTGAGTATGTGGATGATATTGTCCTACTGCGCGAGAATGCCCAAGCCATGCAATCCTCACTCAATCAGTTGGCAATCAATGTTTGTAGGTATGGTATGTGCTTTGCACCTTCGAAGTGCAAAGTTCTTCTACAAGACTGGCAGGATTCTAATCCTGTACTCACTCTGGATGGTGATCAGATAGAAGTAGTCGAGAAGTTCGTGTATCTAGGTAGCTGCATAAGTGCTGGTAGTGGCGTGAATGATGAGATCAATGCACGTATAGTGAAAGCCAGAGCGGCTTATGCCAATCTGGGCCATCTTCGGCGCCTTCGTGATGTCAGTCTCGCTGTAAAAGGTCGGATCTACAACGCGACGGTGAGAGCAGTTTTGCTCTATGCTTGTGAAACCTGGCCTCTCCGAGTTGAGGATGTTAGACGACTCTCTGTGTTCGATCACTACTGTCTCCGAAGGATTGCTGACATCCAGTGGCAACACCATGTTAGTAATGCAGAGGTTCGGCATCGTGTGTTTGGACACAGAGACGATAATGCAATTGGTGTCGCCATCTTGAAACACCCACTTCGGTGGATTGGACATGTTCTACGAATGTCGTCTCAGAGAACTCCTCGTCGTGTATTATTTGCCGACTCTGGGACTTGTTGGAGAAAGCGGAGAGGTGGTCAGTGTATGACATGGTGTCGTGGTATGAAAGAAAGCCGCAAAGGGCTGGCTTGTGTTGGTCCTTCATGACTCCCTGGCTGGGGTCCGAGAGATGTTTTAACACAGTGGCTAGAGACGTTATCAGATATGGCTCAGAATAGAAGCCAGAGGCGATCCTGCTGTAACCTTCTTTTACTTTCTTCGTAAAAAGCGGTTGCTTCTTTCTTAGCTGAAAGATTTCTTCTGATTGTACCTTTTCGTTTCCCCGATTATTACTACTATTACACTACCTTACACTAATCTGTTCGTTATTGTTCTTTTTTTACGCTCCTTACCCTCCTTTCTTTTTTTCCTTACTCTTTAAATTCTCATTTTGTGTGGCGCACATATATTTGGTGCTCCTTTGTACCAATATTTGAGTTCAAATAAATAAAATAAAATGTGTGAAGTGACATTCGTCAAATGCTATCCGTTGATAACTGCCTTATATATTCACTGTTTGACTGCACTAATAATTGGTTCGTACTAAAACTCTGGAAAATAAGTATTGTATGGACTAATTAGTGGAAACATCCGGGATTATTATTTTTAGGTTGCAGTTCAGTTTTTGGGTTTAATTTTCAACGTTATTTTTACTACTCATCATTTAGTGAAGTGAACACCATATATTCTTTGATCTATTTTTGAGAAAAAATTAATCAACAAAATCTTTTCATACAGTTTATCATCATTCACCGAACAAAACATAAAGCAATTGACTTTGAAGAAAGGACGTTACAATGAACTGATTGGTTTTGGAAAGTTACGAGAGACAGCTAATGAATTCAAAGTAAATAGTTTTATAGTTAAATTGTTTTGAAATAATAATTGTCAGGTTGATACAAAATGCCGTTATTTTGTCAACTAAAAAACCGTATGACGGAAACTTAGTTAGTTAAGTTATCAGTAAGATAACAATTCACTGGTGACATTGGATTGGTATAACTTTAAATAAGAAATTGATTGAAGTTGGAAAATGTGGCTCATTGTATTTCGATTTACCGGCTGACTGGCATTAAGCATGCTGCTTGATATGAAGACCTCGCGTCTGATCCCTATACATTTGTAACTTCACGGTGTTAAAGAATCTCAGTTCGTAAAGAACCAGTTATATACCCCTTCCCTATTTTTCAATTTCTGTTTAACTGACAGTATCTTTCAAGACCGTAGCTGCTACCTTGACGTGGTGGTCAGGGTTGCCTATCGTGATGACCCAACCGAGCTATATTGGCTGGAACACATGTTCCTGCAGGTTCTACCATGCCACGCAGGTCGATTGGAGGACGGTAAGACTAAAAGCAGCAACTCAAGGTCTGAGGGCGAAGTCGTACTGCTGAATGTAGAGGGGTGTGGCAGCAGTAAGGTGTTTCCCTCGGACAACCAGCATCTGCAGCGATGCTGCCTTCTCACAAGAGGGAAGGGGTTAGAAAAGGTTGACCCTAAAAATGTCACACCTCACCTTACCCCACGGATTTCCGTCTCCGGCGGTAAGGCCGTTTGAAGAACGGAGCTAACACATTAAAAACCTCCAACAAAAAGGCCGTGCGCGACCAGCCTCAAGCAGTTGTTCCTTGGGCTCTGCGGTCACGCACCCGGGTCGATAAGACCAACACTAATCCGATTTCCTTTTCAGGTTCCTCAAGAAATACCCTTCCACGGTGTGGGCAGCCGGGAAGTGACATCAGCCCTCATACCCGTAACAGCACACAAGACCAAGTTGGTCACATTCAAATCCTTCCTACACCTCCTAATAACTCTCTTACCTCCATGACTAACCCTTCTCACGTCCATTTATCACCTCGCCCCGCTAGTGCGAACGATTCGAGTACGCGGAACGTTATTCCTGGTCTCCTGAAACCACTCTCTAAACTACACGTAGGAGCTTTCAACGTCCGATCACTGTGCCAAATAGGACAACAAGCTTCCTTAGCTAGGACTTTAGAATCTCGCACCATCGATGTTTGCTGCGTCTCCGAAACGCGCACACAGGATCTGAGTAGTGTCATTCATTTGACCGCACCATGTCAAAGTAACGAACCAACTCGATTTACGCCTCGTGTATCTGGAAGCCCTGATGCTGCTTCCCGTGGCCTCGCTGGCGTAGGTATAGCATTGAGTCCTAGGGCAGAACTAGCTCTTTTAGACTGAATCCCAGTAGACAGTCGTTTGTGCGCTGTCCGACTAAACGGAACAGTAAGGACTCGGGAAGATAGGGACACTCGTCGTTGCCTTTTCGTTGTCTCTGCCTACTCTCCCACTGACTGCAGCTCAGATGATGTAAAAGATGAGTTTTACAGAAAGCTTTCCGACCTTCTCCGAAAAGCTAGGCGTTCTGATGTAGTAATAGTGACTGGTGACTTTAATGCTCAAGTAAGTAAACTAAGCGAAAGGAAAAGACACCTGGGTGGATCTTATGGTGTCGCGGCTCAAAGAACAGATAATGGCGACCGTCTGGTTCTTGCAAACACTAACTTTAAGTATAAGGAAAAACATCTTTTGACATGGCGACCCCCTAATTCGTTCCAACGTTGGACCCAAATAGATCACATCGCTATCAGCCACCGATGGAGGGGCTTGATAGAAGACTGTCGCTCATTCTGGAGCACATGCTTAGATTCAGATCATGCTCTAGTGCTAGCGCGTATTTTTCCGCGTCTTACTGGACGTAGGAAAGATGGCGCAAGGAAACCCCTTAGGGTTCTACTTAATGATAGTCAAGCTAAAAGTATATTTCAGGAACAACTACAAAAACAGTTAGGCAGTCATGTATGTGATGCCCACCCGTAGACAGCGTGGAATGACATCCGAAAAGCCGTAGAAACAGCAGTGATGTCTGCAAGTACGGTAAACCACAAGGTTAGGAAGAAACACTGGATCTGAGCAGCATCTACCGCACTGATAGATGCTCGAAAACTTATTCCATCTGGCTCTGAACATAAAGAAGAGCGGAGTCAGCTTAAGCGTAAGCTGACTAGAAGCCTTCGCAATGATCGTGAACAATGGTGGGTAGCGAAAGCAAGAGAGATGGAAAAGGCAGCGGCAATAGGTGACAGCAGGCAACTGTTCAGACTTGTTAAGGAAACCGGTATTAGGAACCCAACTGTTAGCGAAACAATCTCAGAGAAAGATGGACATATTATTCATTCTCAATCCAGGAGATTGGATCGATGGGCAGAATACTTTAGGGATCAGTTCAACTGGCCTTCAGCCACACTTCGGTTCCCCACGATCTCCAGTCGACCTGAATGGCAAGTTGATGTAAGTCCTCCGACTTTACGAAGTTGGAAAAGCTATAGGAAATCTGAAGCGTAGGAGGGCAGCAGGCCCTGACAGGTTTACCCCTGAGATTTTTAAGGATGACGGTCAAGTATTAGCAGCGAGATTGACTGAGGTCTTAGGTAGAATCTGGGAACTGGACGTAATCCCATCTGACTGGTCTCAATCACTGATTGTGCCAGTCTATAAGAAAACACAAAAGTCTTCTTGTGACAATCACAGAGGAATTAGTTTGACTAATATAGTGTCTAAAATATTGGCTTCAATATTACTTCGACGCCTAACCAAAGCTCGTGAAGAGCAGACTAGAGAAAACCAGGCTGGTTTTCAACCCGGACGTGGTTGTATAGATCAGATATTCACACGATGTCAGGTCCTAGGACATAGACACACATTCAGACCGCCACAATGGTAGTATTTCTCGACCTTAAGGCGGCATTTGACTCAGTTGATCGTGAGGTTCTATGGCAGTGTTTGTCACTGAAAGGAGTACCAAAGAAGTACATCAACCTTATAAAGGCCTTCTACTCGAACACAACTGGTCGAGTGAGAGCTTATGGCGAACTGTCATCAGAGCTGATTACCTCAAGTGGTGTTCGTCAGGGCTGTCCACTCTCTCCATTCTTGTTTAACTTTGTCGTTGACGTGCTTTTAGAACTAACACTTTGCACATCTGACTTTCCAGGGGTTGAACTTCTACCGAAAGATTCACTTGTTGACTTAGAGTATGCCGATGACATAGTTCTATTTGGTGAAGACCCTGACAAAATGCAGAGTCTGCTGACCACTCTAAGCAACAACGCAGGCACGTTCGGCATGCGATTTTCTCCCTCGAAATGCAAAATGTTGCTTCAGGATTGGGTTGCACGGCCACCCGAACTAGTGATAGGGAGTAAAGTAGTTGAGCGTGTCGGCCGCTTCACTTATCTCGGAAGTCTCACCAGCCCTTGTGGTTTGGTGTGTGACGAAATCTCAGTACGGATACAGAAGGCTTGACTGGCTTTTGCCAACTTGCGTCATTTGTAGCGTAGGTGAGATATCCGTCTACCAACCAAAGGACGCGTTTACTGCGCAGCAGTTCGTTGTATCCTACTTTATGGCAGTGAAACATGGCCAGTAAGAGTAGAGGATATTCGTAGGTTACTAGTATTTGATCATAGGTGTCTTCGAAACATTGCTCGTACATTCTGGGACCATCGAGTAAGTGATGCAGTTGTTAGGAAACGGGTACTAGGTAAGGATGGCAAATCAATTGATGAAGTAGTGAAACTTAATCAGTTGAGATGGCTGGGACATGTATTGCTCATGCCCGACCACCGACTGCCCCGACGTGCGATGTTTTATGGTGTAGGAGTAGGTTGGAAGAAATCTGGGGGCGGCCAGACTAAAACATGGCACAAATCTATGAAGTCACTGACAAGTGGACTGAACCATGTTGGTAGGCATAGACTACCTGGTTGGGGACCGCGAGATGATAGCAACCGATGGTTAGAGAGCTTGAATGACATGGCTCAAAATCGTTTGCAATGGCGCAGGTGCATCCACTCTCTGTGTTCTTTCAAACTCTAATCTTCTGAAGTCTTCATGTCCTTTATTTTCTTTCCAAATCTATTCCACTGGATATTTCTCCTTAAATAACATCATCAAACCTTAATGTTCCCTATCACTACCTCTTCCACTACGGGATTTGAATCGATAACTGAGTCTCTGTGCTAATGTGGTTTGGCAACTCGAACTGATGTACGTACTTACGAAGTTCCACGTTGTTACTGACTGACTGACTGAAATTGTGATCGATAAACGAACACACCAATGATAAGGTGAAACGCCCACCACCACATTAGCTTTCCTTGACCTTGTATGACTATATCTTGTTTATTCACCAATCATAATTTTATGTTCATTATAAAACCATATTCGCCTTGCTGACTCATTTTTACTATACTCTAGTTAGTGTTCGGTATGCTATTATGTCTCTGTTTTTCCTGTAATAATAGACTGTATTGTTTAATTTGTATACTAACGGTGTTAATTTATGTTTAGAAACAGATAAAGTTTATCAAGCCAAATAGCTTACTTGTTCTGACTTTGGCTTAAGCAAGACTCTGTGTTCGACAGTCTAGAGAATAGCTTACAGTTAAATCTGTAAGACATTGCTTTCTACACATGGCATCAATGTCCGGAGTCTTTTGCTCCTGCTCCGAGCTTGTAGGAGGTGCAAACACCAATTAATATAGATAGTAAGCAATCCCTATGACGTAGATGCATTTATTATTTTTTAATTCCAAGTATTAAGGTGACCAATAAATCCCATAAAATTCATTAGTGTATTATTCTTTTCTTCTAAGTACTTTTAAAATTAATTTTTTGGACTTTCCATGACTATTGGTGTTACTATTCTCGCCTTCTTTGTTTTTCCTCCATATTCTGATTTCAACTTTGGAAAATTGTACGGACACAGGATTTTGCGAGCTTTCACGTCATTCATGTTTAATTGTCTTTTAGTAGTCAGTGAATTATTATGCAGTTAGTTCACCTGAAGCTAGTCGTTGTTGTCTAGGGCGGCTAGACTAAAACATGGCACAAATCTATGAAGTCACTGACAAGTGGACTGAACCATGTTGGTAGGCATAGACTACCTGGTTGGGGACCGCGAGATGATAGCAACCGATGGTTAGAGAGCTTGAATGACATGGCTCAAAATCGTTTGCAATGGCGCAGGTGCATCCACTCTCTGTGTTCTTTCAAACTCTAATCTTCTGAAGTCTTCATGTCCTTTATTTTCTTTCCAAATCTATTCCACTGGATATTTCTCCTTAAATAACATCATCAAACCTTAATGTTCCCTATCACTACCTCTTCCACTACGGGATTTGAATCGATAACTGAGTCTCTGTGCTAATGTGGTTTGGCAACTCGAACTGATGTACGTACGTATGAAGTTCCACGTTCCTACTGACTGACTGACTGGCATTACCTTGTGATGGAGATATCATCAGATGAAACTGAAGAATTATTGCATCAGACTGAAAGCATTAATAACTTGCAAAACATTCTTAAACTTTGCTAAGCTATCATTCGTATAAACAGTTGCATAAAAAATCGAATTGTTTGAAACCTTTATTTAAAAATATTGAAACACTGCAGTTGATTCGTCTTAATACAAAAATAAAAGTTATCGAATATTTATCATTCAGAATGATTAATACCAATGAAAAATATATTTATCATCAGTTCCAAGCACACTTAATACGCTAAATATTTTCCACTCTACCTTCATACATTCTTATACCATTTCACGATTAAGGGTCAGAAAATATTTGCCTTCATGTTACTAAATATGTAAAGCTTTACATTTGAAATGAAATAAAACAAAGGAAATCTTGTGTAAAGCTAATCGCGAACGTCCCTATGAAGGTCTAAGCACCTAATGTTGATGCTGAATGGGATTCAGGCGGTATATCACTATATATTCAGTTCCCGATGCGATATCGACAATAATAGACAATGTTAGATATGGAGCTATCACACTAAATAAGTGTATATAGCTACAGACTAGCAATATATTCACTGCAAACGAAGCTACGATCCAAGTTACTACAAATAAGTAAGCTATGTGAGAAATTTTTTCAACTCACTCATTGCCAGTTTCACGCTGAGAATTACATTTAGTACTACTAAACGCATAATCCACGATTAAAAGCGTACGCGTGGTACTAAAAACTTGGTTTGTTAAAATTACTAGCTATAAAAAACTGATAATTTACTCATCCACAACTAATTGATCAACCCACTTGTGGTGACTGACATTTATCGGTTTTACTTGTTTATGTTGTTCAATTTACTTCATTATCCGATGGGTAAAATTTTTATCGGCTACAACTAGGAAAAGTAAAACAAAGAACAAAGTGGGAGCTTAGTGCGTGACTAGTCATATATTACATAGTGATTAGACGTTAAACCTAGAGCGTACACTTTATTCTATTAGAACTTGTTATGTCGATGTTTCTGCATCTCAGTTATGATGTTCACACTGAAACACGAATCCAGAACTCGTCATCTTAAACCCCAGGATACTATTCAGATTGTTGATACTCATGTTTATGAGAATCACGTTGCCAAATACAAATATCAAAATAAAGACGGAAATGGGAATCATTTGCTTTTTAAAGAGTAAATAAAATCGTTGTTTTTCATTTTTGACCAATGTCAAGGATGAAATGTATATTCTTTCTACTTGGGATATTTGACTACTCTAGTAAAACATTGAAAAAGAATTTTAGACTAGGCGGTTGACCACACTCCTTTGATAAAAAAAACTAATGAGATACTGTGCAGTTCGTTTTAATCAGAAGGTAGATATCACTTATAAAGGTATTTACTCGCACATATTCTATACTTGCAATATTTACAAATAAAACTGTATATGTGAAACATTATGCGTTGAACCGAACTGGAGTTTTACTATATTTTTAGAGAGAATTGATTGAGATTTGTAGACGTAAAGAAAGTGCTATTAAATCACTCAGTGAATTGCAACACAAGTATTCTATACTTCAAAGACAATACAATGGATCCACTCAACTAACTGAGGATGCATTACATAAGGTAAGCGATAATATCAATAAATGAATAACAGTTAATGATAGGTAAAAACCTTTGGAGAGAATTATGAAATATACCTCGGAAAGTCAGCTTACATTGATTGATACTCACTACTTTATTACTTTTATTAGACGTACCACTCTTCAATTTAAATACTGACAAATTCAAATCACATTTATCATCCATCTTTTATATTTCTACCCATTAAACGACTGTCTGCTTTCAAATAGATAGTTCCATAATTAATTCATAAGTTATTTATTATGTATGAAATCGTTCAGTATTACTCTCTTTACATGAGTAACGTTACAAACCCAATTAACTTGCTTTTTCTGTAGTAAATCCAGTTTATTTAATAGATCGAGTTCTTAACAGTTGGATTCACGAGTCAATCTAAGCTAGATCACCATTGTAAACCTGGAAGCACTGAACGGTCATTTCGTTTTACTATGGGACTCCTCAGCAGAGTTCATTCACAATCACACACACGGGACTCGATCAAGTTTTGCTTGTTTTCTCTGTTATCGCATCTTACTCTTCCATAATACATGTTTCAATTATTTCGTTACTGTGTGAAGCTCAGGTATCTAACTTTGTGATAATTAGTATATCTAGAAAGGGTAGCTTTTAACTTGACTTAATTTCCAATGTGATTGAGTATTTATCCAAATAATGTTAATCAAACTGTAGGCACTTTCTAATGCACTTCACTCATTTAATAATCATCTACTCACTCGTATTTAACTATGTTGGTATTCAAAAATGAAAACGGCTCATATGATGAAGTACCATTATTTCTACCTTTTATTTGTATGGCAATTAGAAACAACAACTAATAATTAAACTGAAAGTAAGACTCAACTACCAAAAGTTACGAAATTTCAGTTGGTAAAGAACTATATAAGTGATCCAGATTTTTTCACGACCAAGATTCTCGATAGAAATTTTAATCAATATTTTTTGAAATTCCAATTTGATGAAGTTTTAAGTCAATTTATTACAGTTATGTGAACAGAGAGTATCATTAGCATTATATATTATTTGGAGAAAATTGTGCAAATATTTTTTTGTATCACAGGTTGCAGAATTAATATCTTTAAGTCAAACACTAACTTATGAGCGTGATGATGCAATACAAAGAAGAGAAAATGCAGAAAATGAACTTTCACAACTCCAACTTGTTATCAATAAATTAACTGAAGAATCTGGTCAACGTACAAGGGAAGAAATAGATAAAATAGAAAAGAAAACCAATGAAAATATTGAGAATTTACTAAATGAACTGCACCACATGGAGAAGGTAAACTGCAAATAACATTATTTTCAACTAATTTAGTGTAGATTATATATAGTTACGAACTTACGCCAGTTAGAAAAGCATTGAAGACGAAGTAGTGCTGAAAACCCGTTTCTTTTTGGCACGGGATTAAGTGGTGCAATAATGCGTGTGCTCTATTAAATATTGCAGAGTTCGTAATACATTGGTCCAATGATAGGGAGTGAAGGAGATGAACGTACCGACCGCTCCACTTATCTCGGAAGTCTCATCAGCCCTTGTGGTCTGGTGTGTGACGAAATCTCAGTACGGATACAGAAGGCTCGACTGGCTTTTGCCAACTTGCGTCATTTGTAGCGTAGGTGAGATATCCGTCTACCAACCAAAGGACGCGTTTACTGCGCAGCAGTTCGTTGTATCCTACTTTATGGCAGTGAAACATGGCCAGTAAGAGTAGAGGATATTCGTAGGTTACTAGTATTTGATCATAGGTGTCTTCGAAACATTGCTCGTACATTCTGGGACCATCGAGTAAGTGATGCAGTTGTTAGGAAACGGGTACTAGGTAAGGATGGCAAATCACTTGGTGAAGTAGTGAAATTTCATCAGTTGAGATAGCTGGGACATGTATTGCTCATGCCCGACCACCGACTGCCCCGACGTGCGATGTTTTATGGTGTAGGAGTAGGTTGGAAGAAATCTGGGGGCGGCCAGACTAAAACATGGCACAAATCCATGAAATCACTGGCAAGTGGACTGAGCCATGTTGGTAGGTGCCGCTGTAGACTGCCTAGTTGGGATCGTCGAGATGATAGCAACCGATGGTTAGAGAGCTTGAATGACATGGCTCAAAATCGTTTGCAATGGCGCAGGTGTTCTCCCAAATTCTGATCTTATGAATTCTTCATGTTCCTTTTATTCTCTTTCCAAATTTATTTCAATGGATTATACTCCTTGAATAACATCTTCAAACCCTAATGTTTCCGATTGCTGCTTATACTCTTACCACCTCTACCACTATGGGATTTGAATCGATAACTGCATCTCTGTGCTAATGTGGTGTGGCATTTTTAACTGATGTACGTACGTACAAATTTCTACGTTGTTAACTGACTGACATTGATCCAAATAAAAACGACGAGATAATGCTTACAAAATGCATGGTAGAAACATTCGTCGAAGTCTAAATAATGCCTAGCTTGATTTTAGGGCGTTCTTTAACGGATAATCAACTTTTCCTTACATTTTGTTTTCTTCATAAAGTTTCCTTCTCAAACGAAAAAAGCTATACTGATGGATACGAAGTTATTTTAACTTTTAAAATATAGTTTCAAGTTAATCATAGATTGCACTCATATTCGTTTACCCCACCTCCCGTAAGCTCGATATAATTTTCAGTAGATAGCTACTTCACATGATATAAAGAAATAATGTTAGTTCGTTAGCCTTCCTAAAAACTGGGATTGGTTATTGTAGGAAAGGTGATCTAAGCTTGAATTGCACTATATACTTATTTATTCATTTATTTTAACACATAAGTATAGGTACAGGGAGGCACCAAATACATATGCGCCACACGAATCTCATTTGATTTGTGTGAGGGCTGTGATACTGCCCGGGTGCCCAAACCGAAGCAGGTGGTTTTCTTAAGGGGCCACACCCCGAGCCTTCGACCTGGACGTCTGACCCACAAGGCAGTGGAGCATCGTGAGGAGATGCAGTCCCATGGTAGCCGGTGACCAACGATTGGTTCATACGCCATTTGTTCCTTCAGGATACTGGAGCCCATGTGCACCATTGATATATAGTAGCAGTATAAACTAACCAACTGCATAGTAATAATTATGTTGATTATTAACATCGTCAATATCATTCAGTAAATTTTTCTAATGTATAGGAACGCTGTCAATTGGCCATTCAATTAGAATTTTACAAAACAAACAACCTTGGTCATCATATCAATGATGTAAATAATGAAGGTGAGTCTATTCTTAATGTAAATACTACGTCAGGCCATATAAAACCGGATTGTCAGTTGGATACTTTTAGAAAACGTGCCATACATGCTGAAAGTTTATGCGATGAATTAAAGTTAAGATTGGAAACTGAATGTAACAACAAAGAAAAATTAGCTGCATCTAAACAAATCGAAATTGAACAATTAAATGAAAAGGTAAATATCATTCCTAACAACTTAAACTTGGTAAAGATAAAAACTTGAACAAATGCCAGAGTATGTTAACTACAAGTCATTTCTTTTTAAAACAAGAGAAATGTTGACAGTAATTGATTTCAGCTACCGAGACAATTAAGTAAATGATCTATGTGTAATATCTTTGTTATATCTATCACATGATTTCTATGAACCTATCCATTTATGTATGGACGTAAGTTCCTGTAAATTATTAAAATACATTTAAGCATAAGGCCTGTGTAAATGGATAGCACTTAGTTTTGTTTGAGTCTCTTTGATACTATAAACACCTGTTATAACACAAAACAAAAAAATTAGACCAAGTCAGATTGTTCGAAATTCAATCTGCTCATCGAGTTGTTTATGAATATTGTGTTTAATTTTAAGAGTTGTTATTTTGTTCTCTTAGCTAAATGGTTTGGTCGTGAGGCTTCTCTACCATCTCAGAGTCGCTATTAAATGCTGCATAAATCCTTCTCGATGGAATGCCTGGCTGATCTTCAACTTTTATTAGTGCTAATTTGTATGGCACTCATATGTTCATTGTTATATTTCTGTGAAAATTATATATTTCGAAACTTTACGACAGTTAGTCATTCATTTTCAAGTAAAAAGAATTACAATGCCTAGTGAGTAATACTCATCGACACATTTCTAAATTTTCCACAGAAATGTTCATTTAGTTTGTAGGTATCGATAACAACATTGGTTTTTTGGTTCGAACCGAATTCATTAAAGTCATGAATCATATAGAATTACTTTGTTGTTTTAGAACAAACTGCTTACAGAACGTTTTGAATATACTGAATTACAACGGAAAAAGAACGAAAACCATTATAATAAACAAAATGAAGTTTTGTTCAATTCTGAACTTCAATTGAATAGTCTTAAACAACAGTTAGAAGCTGTGCAAAAAAGTGCACAAGTTCAAATCACCTCAATAAAACAGTCAATGAAAATGCAAGAAGTTGAGTATAAGTTAAAGATTGAAACACTTGAAAAAGTAAATAAATTAACCGATAAAAATTGGCGTAATCTGCTAGATAAGCAACAAATAGTAAGTAAATAATAGTTACTTTAATGTCTTAGCACAAATTAAACTGTTTTATCCGTTCGTATAACGGAAATTGAAACAGCTATAATATAGCTGTGAACCATTGATTTTCGACCTAGTGATTACATAATATCGTGCTCGCCGCACAACTGGGATGTACTGGATCCAATCTCTTATGATACCATGAAAGCGCACTACTAAAAAATCACAATTATGGACAACATAGCTCTCTGGTGCTTCCATGTTTCTCCATACCATGTCGCTTCATGACTATAACTTTCTAAATGTTGAAATACTCAGAAGTAAAATTTACCCTGGCTCATTTCCGTAAGCAGAGATAAATCAGTAACTCTATAAAATAAGTTAAACAACATCATAGGATGCTATATTTATCATAAGAATGTGCTTTTCAAAGCTTGCTTCATTTGAATGATTAAATTTTTATGACTTTTTACATTTCAAACGTCATTCACTGAATTATAAAGAGAGGATATCTTACCTATTGTAGAAATGTTAAACATTGTTATTTACTGATATTTATGTATTTTAGCCATTAAATAATAATTAAAACACTATTTTGATGTTCGACTAGAACGATAAGTATTTATTCATTTCATTATATTTAGGATTTAAACTTTGCATATATTTGGTAGTAAAAAACAGTAAGAGTATTTATTCACTAAAATATATTATAAAATCTATCTGAAGTATGCCGTACCAAAGGAACTATCAAGTAATTTGCTTAATATCAATACTTTCCGGACAAATCTTCCATTTCCTGAACTAGTTGATAATTTTCTACTATTAAAAAAGCCTAGAAGATAAGCGATTTCTTCAATCGTAACCTTTTTTCTACAAAGTGGGCGTTATGATAGTTACTTTGCACATGTATATGCAAAAGGTTAATTAAAAAATACACGGCAAGACATGTTTCATAAAATGCAAATATCAAGTGATCTGGAGCACTGGAAGTTTTAGCACTGACGATTTTTAACCTTGTTTTATTGTAAGGGGTATCGCTAAATATATTGCTTGTTTAAGGGAAAAGCCTTACTGTTACTACACACCCACACAGTCAGCAGTATGACTTCGCCTTCGGACTACAAAATATCTGCTTTTAGTCTTATTAATCTTCAACTGACTTGTCTTACATGGTAGGACCTAAAGGAACGAGTATTCTATTCCACATACCTTGCTCTATTCTTTATGATATACAAACCTGATCGTTATATCAATGTAGAACCTACGGTTGGGTTCAGTAGCATGACCTTCGGAATATTTCCGACACACATTAGTGACAAGACTGACAACTCTGAACAACAAACATAAGCAACTTTCTCACTCTAAATAATTTGAAAAAACTATTGAGTTTACATTTTAGGATAGACAAGTATCTATTATGTGTATATATATTTGCGATGTCCTCAGTCAGTCAGTCCTAGGAAATAAAGAAAGGATAACATATTAAAGCGAAACTACTGGAAGAAAATAGTCCTTGGATGTGGTAGAAATAAAATTAGTTAATAAGTTTTATCTCAAGTATGATCAGAAACGTAAGATACTAACTATTACAACTATTCGTAGTAATTTCTGCTCAGTATAGTTAATTTTTGGCATACTGTTTATAGTTTAATAATATTTGAAAGCATAGTCAAATATATTTATTATAATCACTACTTAGTTAACGTCACAATGGAGAAAGGAAGCAGAAGAACTAGCTAATCAAGTGGAAGAACAAACCAATGCATTTAAAACGGAAATAGAAAAATATTGGAGTAAATGACAAATGCCTACCAACAACATGATGACGTAAGTAGAATGATCCACACAATTTTTATATGACTCTATTAAATCATGATTGTAAAAAATTAAGGACTTTAAATGTAATAACGTGTCTCTGACCAATAATCATGTTACCCACAGTTAAAACGTGCATAACTTTCAGATTAACAAAGTTAATAAAGCATTCAAACGTAAGTCAGTCTAAAAAATCCAGTGAATTTATAGACTATAGGTAGAAACACCAAAGGATATCAGTACGCATCATAGTCTCCGAAAATAAGGTTAGCTATGGAGGATGGAATGGATCAATAAGCATTCGTTCATTAAGTTAGCATCCAGAATATGCAAAATGACTAATTTGTTCATTTCACCTATCAAAAATAATTCATATCCTTTAAAACAAAAGTAAAGTGATGTTTAGAGTAAGAGAAACGAAAGCCAATGGTTGTTTGATTACTTTGATATCAAAATGCTGCTCATTAATAAGCTATATTGCTTCACGATTTTCTTCATCGGTAATACTTGACTTGTTTTAAAAATCACATTAAATTAGTTTAGCTAATATAGCAATATTAATATTTGTGATTGTAAAGTAGATTTTAAACCATCTTTTTCACTTACTGTAAGAATCTGTATTTCGGTAACTACAAATGAAGCTCATAGTTGTCAGTACTTGTGAACTATTTATTTATGTTATATTCATTAATTGTGACTTTTTACCAAAGTTAATTTTCACATGCTTTCCAGTCTTATTGAAGAATAGGGATAAGTATGTTGATAACATACTTTTGAAGTGGCGCAATCATTCTGTAAACTTCACAGTTAAAGATTTTGTACCCATAAACAACTATGATGAAAAATCTTGTGACTTATTAGGAGGTTATAGTCACTAATAGACTCAATCTGAATGTAAATGGATAGTTATTTTAGTGGATGCTTTTAGAAAATTAGCCAATTAGTGCTCTTATCACAGGTTGATATTAAAAAACCTATGAATGATTCCCCACACCCAAGGCCAAATAAGCAGCCTTCAAACATTTGGAACGCATATGATACAAAATAGTTATTAAATCAAAATCCGATCGTTAAAACTTTTCAACGTGACTTAATTCCGACGGCAACTTAACAATAAGGACACAGTGAAAAGTGACTTAACATTTGATCAATTATTTGCAAATCAACTAACTGCATAATAATTCACTGACTACTAAAAGACAATTAAACATGAATGACGTGAAAGCTCGCAAAATCCTGTGTCCGTACAATTTTCCAAAGTTGAAATCAGAATATGGAGGAAAAACAAAGAAGGCGAGAATAGTAACACCAATAGTCATGGAAAGTCCGAAAAATTAATTTTAAAAGTACTTAGAAGAAAAGAATAATACACTAATGAATTTTATGGGATTTATTGGTCATCTTAATAATTGGAATTAAAAAATAATAAATGCATCTACGTCATAGGGATTGCTTACTATCTATATTAATTGGTGTTTGCGCCTCCTACAAGCTCGGAGCAGGAGCAAAAGACTCCGGACATTGATGCCATGTGTAGAAAGCAATGTCTTACAGATTTAACTGTAAGCTATTCTCTAGACTGTCGAACACAGAGTCTTGCTTAAGCCAAAGTCAGAACAAGTAAGCTATTTGGCTTGATAAACTTTATCTATTTCTAAACATAAATTAACACCCTTAGTATACAAATTAAACAATACAGTCTATTATTACAGGAAAAACAGAGACATAATAGCATACCGAACACTAACTAGAGTATAGTAAAAATGAGTCAGCAAGGCGAATATTGTTTTATAATGAACATAAAATTATGATTGGTGAATAAACAAGATATAGTCATACAAGGTCAAGGAAAGCTAATGTGGTGGTGGGCGTTTCACCTTATCATTGGTGTGTTCGTTTATCGATCACAATTTCAGTCAGTCAGTCAGTAACAACGTGGAACTTCGTAAGTACGTACATCAGTTCGAGTTGCCAAACCACATTAGCACAGAGACTCAGTTATCGATTCAAATCCCGTAGTGGAAGAGGTAGTGATAGGGAACATTAAGGTTTGATGATGTTATTTAAGGAGAAATATCCAGTGGAATAGATTTGGAAAGAAAATAAAGGACATGAAGACTTCAGAAGATTAGAGTTTGAAAGAACACAGAGAGTGGATGCACCTGCGCCATTGCAAACGATTTTGAGCCATGTCATTCAAGCTCTCTAACCATCGGTTGCTATCATCTCGCGGTCCCCAACCAGGTAGTCTATGCCTACCAACATGGTTCAGTCCACTTGTCAGTGACTTCATAGATTTGTGCCATGTTTTAGTCTGGCCGCCCCTAGATTTCTTCCAACCTACTCCTACACCATAAAACATCGCACGTCGGGGCAGTCGGTGGTCGGGCATGAGCAATACATGTCCCAGCTATCTCAACTGATTAAGTTTCACTACTTCATCAATTGATTTGCCATCCTTACCTAGTACCCGTTTCCTAACAACTGCATCACTTACTCGATGGTCCCAGAATGTACGAGCAATGTTTCGAAGACACCTATGATCAAATACTAGTAACCTACGAATATCCTCTACTCTTACTGGCCATGTTTCACTGCCATAAAGTAGGATACAACGAACTGCCGCGCAGTAAACGCGTCCTTTGGTTGGTAGACGGATATCTCACCTACGCTACAAATGACGCAAGTTGGCAAAAGCCAGTCAAGCCTTCTGTATCCGTACTGAGATTTCGTCACACACCAAACCACAAGGGCTGGTGAGACTTCCGAGATAAGTGAAGCGGCCGACACGCTCAACTACTTTACTCCCTATCACTAGTTCGGGTGGCCGTGCAACCCAATCCTGAAGCAACATTTTGCATTTCGAGGGAGAAAATCGCATGCCGAACGTGCCTGCGTTGTTGCTTAGAGTGGTCAGCAGACTCTGCATTTTGTCAGGGTCTTCACCAAATAGAACTATGTCATCGGCATACTCTAAGTCAACAAGTGAATCTTTCGGTAGAAGTTCAACCCCTGGAAAGTCAGATGTGCAAAGTGTTAGTTCTAAAAGCACGTCAACGACAAAGTTAAACAAGAATGGAGAGAGTGGACAGCCCTGACGAACACCACTTGAGGTAATCAGCTCTGATGACAGTTCGCCATAAGCTCTCACTCGACCAGTTGTGTTCGAGTAGAAGGCCTTTATAAGGTTGATGTACTTCTTTGGTACTCCTTTCAGTGACAAACACTGCCATAGAACCTCACGACCAACTGAGTCAAATGCCGCCTTAAGGTCGAGAAATACCACCATTGTAGGGTGTCTGAATGTGTGTCTATGTCCTAGGACCTGACATCGTGTGAATATCTGATCTATACAACCACGTCCGGGTTGAAAACCAGCCTGGTTTTCTCTAGTCTGCTCTTCACGAGCTTTGGTTAGGCGTCGAAGTAATATTGAAGCCAATATTTTAGACACTATATTAGTCAAACTAATTCCTCTGTGATTGTCACAAGAAAACTTGTCAGGGCCTGCTGCCCTCCTACGCTTCAGATTTCCTATAGCTTTTCCAACTTCGTAAAGTCGGAGGACTTACATTAACTTGCCATTCAGGTCGACTGGAGATCGTGGGGAACCGAAGTGTGGCTGAAGGCCAGTTGAACCGATCCCTAAAGTGTTCTGCCCATCGGTCCAATCTAGTGGATTGAGAATGAATAATATGTCCATCTTTCTCTGAGATTGTTTCGCTAACAGTTGGGTTCCTAATACCGGTTTCCTTACCAAGTCTGAACAGTTGCCTGCTGTTACCTATTGCCGCTGCCTTTTCCATCTCTCTTGCTTTCGCTACCCACCATTGTTCACGATCATTGCGAAGGCTTCTAGTCAGCTTACGCTTAAGCTGACTCCGCTCTTCTTTATGTTCAGAGCCAGATGGAATAAGTTTTCGAGCATTTATCAATGCGGTAGATGCTGCTCAGATCCAGTGTTTCTCCCTAACCTTGTGGTTTACCGTACTTGCAGACATCACTGCTGTTTCTACGGCTTATCGGATGTCATTCCACGCTGCTGCTTATGTGCAAGTGAAATTTCATAAACCAACGGAATTTCTACTGATTTATTATTCCTAATATCTTATTAAATCCTGTTTAAGAAGCTGAATTAGTTTCAACTCCCAACGAATAATTCATATGTAACCAACCGGACAAATTGCAAAAGACGAAACCTGTTCAATACACTATAAACTATATGAAAATATAATTGGCTCTGATATCTTCGACAAAACAGGGAGACAGCCATTTGAGTACATGAAAACAGTTCTCCGCAAAACATTTTAAAAATAAACATCACATACCTAAAACGTTGATCGAAAACAAATTCATGATTATATTTCTCATGAGTTCTAATGAGTTATGAATGACAATTATGTTAAATCCTCTCATTGAACAAGAAATCTCATCTTTACAACAACACGACCAATTAAACAAAAATCACCTCATATTTGCTTGGTTTTTGAGAACAGCCTACAGAACAGCACAGTATTTCATAGTGAACGGTGTTTGGAACATAATCTGTTGTTCCTAGTTCATCTAATGTGTCATTCAACTGTGTACAAGGCAGTACACTTTACTTCCTGAAATCTAGCGGTTACAAATAAGTAGTTGAAAACGTGATCTCAGATAAAATGAAGTTCATCTTTGCCTAAATCTTAAACTTATGACTTCATCAATAATTTTTTGTATACAACTGCATCATCTTTATTTTTCCTTATATCTCCTTTCTTTAGTCGGCCTTATTTCATCATGCGATTTACTACGTACCCGATGATCAGGATGAATGATATACTGCCCAAGAGTAATTTCCTCAAGTACACAAATAATAGAGACATTTCTTACCAGATAGTAAAGTTGTAGCAATCCACTTACTGGACACTAAAGACTTGTGTTTGACCTTACTAATGATTGTTCATATTTTAGTGATGTTGACAATAAGAGAGAATATATTGCCACCCCATTTTTGCTTTCATGACAACGGATTTTCTCTTAAATTACTAATTTATTTAATTACAGATTGTTGAACAAGTGAAATACCCATATCGCTTATCTAAGTATTATTTTGTCCTATATTAATTGACAATGGGATAGATGCAGAGTAGAAGTTAGTTACATACGATCATTCTCAAACTGAGAAACAGAGTGACAATGAATTACTACTTAAGATTAATGAAATGTATAAAAGAAAACCAGGGAAGGATTATTCTCTTCTCTGGTCTTAGTGTACATACAATCCCCTCTCAATATTTTTTGAAATATTTTGTTGACAATTCCATCGAAATAATGACAAAACCAGTGTTACCATTAAAGTTTTGATTCTTATGTGTACAATATAACTGTAACAAAGATAATAGATAGAATTTTGACGATAGTTATGACAAATAATCTAGTGACTTGCTATATTCACCAGTGGTCTTGAGTGCTGTTAGAGGTATGAGGGCGGTTATCACTTCCCGGTTGCCCACACCGTGGAAGGGTTCTGCTGGAAGTGCCTGAAAAGGAAATTGGATTAGAGGTGGTCACAGTGACCTGAGAGCGTGACCGCAGTGCCCAAGGGACAGCTGCTTGAGGTCGGTCACACACGACCTTTTTATGAGTAGTTTTTGTGTCAGCTCCGTACTTGTTGAGACCTTACCGCCGGACGGATATCCGTGGGATAAGGCGAGGTGTGCATTTTTAGGGTCGACCTTTTCTAACCCCAACCCTCCTTTTGGGAAGGCAGCATCGCTGTTATGCTGGTTGTCTGAAGGAAACACCTTACTGCTGTCACACCTGTGTACAGTCAGCAGTACGACTTAGTCTTCGGACCTTGGTTTTGTTGCTTTTAGTCTCACCGCTCTTCAACCGACCTGTCTGGCATAGTAGGACCTTGAGGAACGGTCGTTCCAGCCAGTATAGCTCAGTTGCTTCATCACGATAGGCAAGCCCGACCACCACGTCAAGGTAGCAACAACGGTCAGGTGCTATATTCACTGACAATCCCTTACCACGTAAAATTCTAAAAAGTTGGACAACAGGTCATCTAGTCGTTTTTATTGAAGCCTTGGTAAGTAGATGTAGTTTACTTATCAAAAAAGTTTCTTTAAACTATACCTAACAAACTAATGAACTCAACAAACAAACAAAACAGCTCAACTTGATCTATAAAGCAAACCGCAACAATTGTGAATATATCATTAGGCAAAGTGATCACCATCTTGCCTTGCGCTACCATCAGTTGGCTATCAAAGATAACAAAATATACCTTTGCTCATATCGATATACTTGTAACGTGGTCATGAGTTAGTGAAGATTGTTTTCCCGACCGCATCTGAATTTGAGAAAATACTAATGCTACCCTTATCTCTATGCTCAATCCAAACGCAGGTAGTAAGACACTATGAATAAAACCTAAGTGTAGAAAGAAGGCCTAAAACACAAGATAATAGTGTTTCACTAACCATGTTTGCATAAACCAGTACCAGTAGTGAATGACCAACGATCAGCAACCGGGTAGATTAGTGCTTTATCTTGATCTCTTTACTGCTAATATTTCTCTAATTTACTCCTACATCAGTCAATATTACTCGTTTTGTTAGGTAACGCCTAACAACGTTAAAAGCGCATGAGTATAGACACAACTCCACATACATATACACTGACATGCCTTTCTTGTACATAACTTTGAGCACCAAATTTACATGGCATAGACACCGTACATTATTTTCTCATTACTACGAATAAGAATATTGCGGATAAACACACATATGTGCTCAGTTAAAACATTATTTTTCGGTATACGAACTTAAGGCTTGAGAGTTGACAACAATATGCAGTTGGTTTGTGAGAAAATTGATGAGATTGAACATTATATGGTTGGACAACTACACATATTTAGTAGGTGATCATAATATGAGGATAAGTAATGGAGCAGAAATAAGCTACTCGCAAAATATAAAATTCTTATGTGATTGACTTTTTCACTATTTAGAACCTTATTTATGAATGGGATATGCTAACTACTTTATAAAATAAGCCAGTATTTAATGGGTAAAACTTTTATGAACTACTACTACTACTGAAATGAACCAGTAACAATACAGGATTGAGATGTTTATATGATATTAAACGCTGATATATCCTTCCAAATACTTATAAACGCTGCACGTCAAACATGAGAGAAGCGGTCAAGTCCACCGAACGCAGCTTTTACTTCGCAAGTTAAAATGTAGTAAAGCCATATAAATGTATGCGGTCAACTGATGTCAGGTCATAATACCGTAGGGCTTTCGAAACTTTTCAGGGTTTTCTTATAGTATTCTATTTGTAGCACTGTGTGGTAATATGTGAATGAACAGTGAAAAAATATTCGGCTAATTATTGACTAACAGCTGATGGTTTGATTGTAGCGTTAATGGATAGCGTCTCGTAAGGCATGATATAATATCTCAATCGGTGGAAATAAAACACTTGTTTGTCATATACGGTGGGGAGGCTAGAACAGATAAAAGGGCGCGGACAAGTCACATATCCTCGTACGGAAAGTAACAACTGAATACATGGAATTGTGTCTACTTAATGGGTCACTAAACATAGATGCTACAAGACCTAAAATACTATGATCGAACCGTGAACTTAAGCGTTTAAGTTAGTCGTTTTCCAAAATATACGAGATTCACTACATAAACCCGGAATCCAAGGGTGACTAACGATAATGATACCTACACTTAGTATCCGCTACCAAACATCTGAAGTTTATTTATTTATTTTAACACATAAGTATAGGTACAGGGAGGCACCAAATACATATGCGCCACACGAATCTCATTTGATTTGTGTGAGGGCTGTGATACTGCCCGGGTGCCCAAACCGAAGCAGGTGGTTTTCTTAAGGGGCCACACCCCGAGCCTTCGACCTGGACGTCTGACCCACAAGGCAGTGGAGCATCGTGAGGAGATGCAGTCCCATGGTAGCCGGTGACCAACGATTGGTTCATACGCCATTTGTTCCTTCAGGATACTGGAGCCCATGTGCACCATTGGTTTGGGATCCGGTTAAAGCGCCGGACATTCGCTTTTCGTCATCTCATTTTCGTAAACAACACCCCCGCCACGTGAAGGCAGTGAGTAGGACTTCCCTGGCAGAGGCTATATACGCATGGCCATGTGAGAGCATTTCGAGAGGGAGAGCGGACTCTCCCCACTCTCGGCCGTACCAGGGCATTTGGGGGCACCAAGCATCTTAAGACAGAAATTTCTATGACGAAACGGGACAAGCGCAGACTCTTTGTGTTGAACCGTGAATGGAAACCATACAATACTAATAAAACATGCATTACGTTCGTAGTATAAACATATAATTCAACTTTAGCAAAATATAAATGATTCATTGTGATGGAATTTAGGTTTGAGATTGCTTCCCGACAGTTGCTTCTTTCCTAGATGCATTTTGTAATTCGATCGTATCGCATTCATCAGCTGGGAGTTGGACATATCTTACAATAGACCCTCTTATGAAACAGTTTTTAACAGACAGCTATAATTAGGTGATCATAAAGCTTATAACGTTACCATATGAGGGTGTTTTTCAGGATCAGTTACGCTAATATCAGTGAGCTTGAAATTGTGATACTGATCGACTGAATGTAACGTGCCACATATACTATAACATATGAAACAAATATGTCGTAACACTTACCATAGGTCATTCTTCAGTTCAATTAACACATCCTTCCCAACCAAAGTTTTAAAAAATGAAAAAAACAACTAAAAACCGTAGTCAGTCGAAGCTGCTTACCATTATATATAAAAATTTACCACTTGGTGGGTTTGTTTCTGGCCTAAGGATAATTTGTGTCCTGGAGGGGTGTACAAAAGGTGTGGGAGTTCTGGAAAAGATAGTAAGAAAACTAATTAAACACATAATTCTGCTTACGTTCAGTAACGGAATCGACCAACGATAATCAGGAGTAACACAGGTTTGAAACTAAAACACTCGTAACGACAAGACCTCAACGAGGCACAACGCAAAACTTAAAAGTAGTCAACGAACACGACCTTCAAATAGTTCAAATGGTTGTGTACGGAATAGAAGCTTCCGCTTAACAGGCTTCCGTGTCTAGTAGCAAGGGATCACCAATACCTTCAGGCAAGAACCTAGGTATGTTAACGATAAAAGAGAAAATAAATGAATTGGTAAATCATAGTAAGATACTATCCTTAGTCCTTAAGAATAGATCAAGTCGTCTCTTTGAGGACTCCTGGGAAGTTGCTTGAAATAGCTCAGCCGGCGGCGAATTCCAGCATTTGACAACTCTTAAGGAGTAGAAGTTGTGCCTGCAGTCCGTTCTACTATGTTGTATCTCTAATTTCTGGGTGTTACCCCTTAGGTTAGTGTTGGGACTAAGCTTAAGTAGGTGTTTAAGAGGATTTCCAGAATATTAAGGATACTGTAAGCCATTAGAAGGTCACCTCTAAGACGCCTATAATCTAATGGGTAAAGGTCGAGTGATTGGAGGCGCTCATCGTAAGGTTTAAATTTGAGTCCTCGAACTGATTTCGTGGCTCGCCGTTGGATACGCTCCAGAGTGTCCTATCCTTTTGGAGTGTAGGAGGGAATACTATGTTTCCGTACTCTAAATGAGGACGAATGAAACTATTGAAGATTATGTGAAAAGTTCTGCCGTCAAACTGACCAAAAATGCGCTTTAATGTTACCAGTGCAATGTTTTCTCGAAAGGCATTTCTGTCACAGTCGGCGTAAGACTTTAAGTCGTAGGCCACCAGAACTCCTAAATCTTTTTCGACTCGAGATACTACTAGAGAGGAGTTTCCTAAGTTGTAACTGTAATCTGCGACGTGTCGCAGATGGACTACTTTACACTTTGATGTGTTAAAGGTAAGTCCGTTATCGTCTGCCCAACTTTGATGTCGAGTCAGATCCTCCTGAAGTGCCTGTATGTCCTCTTGGTTGCGTATCTCTCTCCAAAGTTTTACGTCATCGGCAAAGAGCAATATGTCTGACGTTACCTGTTGAGGAAGATCATTTATATAAATCAGGAAGAGGAGAGGTCATAGTACTGAGCCCTGATGGACCCCACTAGGACATTCCATAGCCTTTGAGAAATTAAAGTTTACTCTGACCTTAAAATGTCGATTTGTCAGATATGAACTGAGCCAGTCAATTAAAGGAGGTTTGATACCCAATTGTTTGAGCTTGTTAATAAGACAGATGTGGTTAACCCTATCAAAAGCTTTTGAGAAATCAAGGTAAATGATGTACACCTTCCCCTTGCGATCACCGATGCTTGTCCATCTGTCCACCGCAGTCAGCAAGTTCGTCATACAGGAGTAGCCCTTTCTGAAACCATGCTGTTGGGGTGAGAAGAAATGTAAGGACAGCAGATAGTCGTGTATACCATCGTATACCAGGGACTCCATGATCTTTGAAGGTATAGAGAGAAGAGCCACTGGTCGGTAACTTGAAGGTTCGCTTCGTCGACTTCCCTTGAAGATCGGTGTGATATGAGCCAGCTTCCAAATATGCGGTAGTTTGCCTTGACTTAGCGAGTGTGAGAACATCACGTTAAGCGGTGTTGCCAGGATCGAAGCTGCTTCCCTCAGTATAGCAGAGTGGACCATGTCTGGACCAGGAGAAGTGTCTGTTCTTAGGTGTTGTACTTTACGAAGCACCAAGTCGACACTCAGCTGCACTACGGAAAGTCCTATGCAGTTGCAGATGAAGTTGCCGTGAGTATAATTGATATGGGTCTGTTGAAATGTCTGGGAGTATTGCCCAGCCAAAAGGTTAGCGGCGTCACCGTCATTATTGGTCGGGCCGTTAGGGCCTAGCAGTTGAGAAACTCCAGTTTTGGCTTGACGAAGAGAGGCTGCATAACGGAATAAGCCTTTCGGATTGGCAATAAATTTATCCATAAGCTTTAACTGGTACTCGAGCCTGTCTTCTCTTATAGCCTTCGTGTATATTTTCCTTATATGTTTGTATTGCCTGTACTCGCCATTGTTGTTGGTTCGTTTGTATTCTGCCCAACAGTGCCTTTTACGGCTAAGCAAACGAAGAGTGCGGTTTTTGATGATTGTAGGTTGCATGTGGCTTTTGGGGACCGTTTGAGGGACTGACTGCTTTGTAGCACCTAAGAGCGTATGTAATAGGAAGTTCCAATGAGCGTCCACATTAAGTTGAGGGTGAACATCCCAATCCACCTGTTGTAGATAGTCCTGTAGAGCTGACGCATTCAACCGTTTGAAATTCCAGCGCCTGTTGTTGTTGGGATATCTTAGCTCAGTTTTGCTGACGAAACTGAGGGCTATAACGGCGTGATCGCTTTTCCCCAGGGGAGCCAGAGTTGAGAGGTTGTCGACTAGAAATTCTTCATTTGTGAAAACACAATCTAAGCGCGACGGTGTCTGACTGTTCCTACAACGAGTGGTCGACTTCACATTTTCGTGTAGTCCCAAATCCTCAATGAGGTTGAAGAACCGAGCTTCAATTGAATTTTCACCTCCAGTATACGTATGTTCCGCGAAGTTGACTCTAGGGAGATTGAAGTCCCCTAGAATCAGGATATGAGTGAAGCCGAGACGCGTAGAGCGGGATAGTCCTTCCAGCATGCGACTGTCATACTCGATGTCGGCAGTGGGCTTCCTATATATGACTCCGACTAGGCACCTCGAAGTAGTGGACAATCCCATAGAGCACCATATGGATTCCTCAAGATTGTCAGACTCATGGTTTTGAACTTGATGTACCTCCAAGCCAGATCGTATGTATACGACTACTCCACCCCCAATTCCTGTTTTTCTGTCATTGCGAAACATAGACATCCCAGGTATTGCTAGCTCCTGGTCCGAGTACTGAGGAGATATCCAAGTTTCAGATATTCCTATCAGATGAACCTTATTAGCGTTGCTGAGTTCACTTAGTTCATCCATTTTATTTGGTAGACTCGCAGCGTTCATGTATAAGCAGTTCATGCTTTCAATTTGAAACGCGTGAGCTTCTTCCTGTTTGTCTGTGAGAGCCTTACGTGAGTGGACAGGTAACTCACCTATACAAGTTATGTCGAATTGGTAGGCCCTGTCCTTTACACGTTTTTTTCTTCAAGACAGTTCGCAAGTGGAATGGTCAGTTCCAGCTTGCCTTTGTGCTTGATCCTGACGTCGTATGGCCTGTCCGGGTGCATGTGGACCCCAGTTGGCAACCGACGTCTGTTGACACGAAATGCTTTCAGAGCTGCAGCCGCCATATGGGAAGATGGAAAAGTTATCCTCATTAGTCGGGGTCTAGGATCCCCGTCCTTCGTGTGAACTGAATAGAAGAAACTCTCGCTTAACGGGCTTCCGTGTCTAGTAGCAGTGGATTACCAATACCTCCAGGCCGGATCATAGGTATATTAACGATAATAAAAGAAAAATAAATTAGTAAATCATAGTAAGGTATTATCCTTAGTCCTTATGAATAGGTCAAGTTTCCTCTTATAGGACTCCTAGAAAGTCGCTTGGACTAGCTCAGCCGGCAGCGAACTCTGGGATTCGACAACTCTTAATGAGTAAATGTTGCGTCTGTAGTCCGTTCTGCTGTATTTTGTCTCTAGTTTTTGGGTGTTGCCCCTTAAGTTTGTATTCGAGCTAAACTTAAGTAGGTGTTTAAGGGGATGTCCAGAAGTGTTAAGGATACTGCAAGCCATAGGAAGGTCACCTCTAAGACGCCTATATTGTAATAAGTAAAGGTTTATTGATTGGGGGCGCCCTTCATAAGGCTTAAATTTGAGACCCTGAACTGATTTCATTGCTCGCCGTTGGATACGCTCCAGAGTGTCCTTATCCTTTTGTAGTGAGGGAGAAGAAACTATGTTTTCGCACTCTAAATGGGGATGAATGAAGCTGTCGAAGTTTACGTGGAAAGTCCTGGCCAAAAATGCGCCTCAATGTTAGCAGTGCAAGGTTTGCTCGAAAGGCATATTTTCACAGTTAGTGTAAGACTTCAAATCGTAGGATACTAGCACCCCTAGCCGGGAAGAAATGACTAGCTGTTCGTACTGTTAAATCAACATCTGATTTGTGTTTGGGGGATTCTCGGCTATTTATTTTTGTGGTTTTTTGGAAACCAGAACGCCTCGAAACAATAGTTATCAGTAAGAGTTCTAATGGTTGTATATGTTATAAACGAAGCCTATACTCAACCGGCCTCCTTGTCTAG